AGGAGCAAGACAGGCCTGAACACTGAGGAAGGACAGACACACAGCTCACTCGTCCTTCTGAAAAGCCCCAGCCTGTGCCAAAAGAAGCAAAACAAAACCGAGAGCGTTTGTGCGATAGCAGCGCCTGTTGCTCAGGTCCCGCCCCTCTCTTAAGAGACCACAGGATCCCTTGTTAACCTTTGCCAGTTCTTCAGGGCATCACAGAGGAACTCTGTGTGCAGACCTGAGCTGGGTATTGGCAAAGAGGGACACTAGACTGAGACACGGACACCCTTGGTGGGCATAGCTGGTCAGGAGGCTTTGAGTGTGACGTCCAGAAAGCAAGACAACTGGGTGAACTAGCAGGTGGCTGAGGGAAAAGCGGAAGCTTCCAGAATGGAAGGCATAGCCCAGAGCAGACGGAGGGAGGGGGCAGGGCGGGCTAATGAAAACCAGCAGCTCAAAGGCACCACCTTTGAAATAAATGTGCCCTGACATTTGTGCCATCATAACTCTATTGCCACAGCACTCAAGGGGCAGATTCCAAGGAGGAGCAGGGTCTGGGAGGCTGAGCTGGTACCACACCTTCTGGGAAGGTAGGTCATCTTGATGGACAGCATATTGTGGGGACAAGTCACACTTCTAAGAACAGCTCATCCCTTTCGGAGGGAGCCGTGGTAAGGGCTGCTGAGGAGAGATGGAGGGTATCCTGCAGGGTGGGAGACACTGAACCGGCCAGAGGATATGGCAGGCTCAGAGCCCAGGGCTAAAGTGGACAGAGTGGAGGGTGGGCCGCCGTGTGCTATGAGACTTTGGCCTGAGGGCTTGGGAAGCCAAGTCGAGTATATTTTGTAGGGTTCAAATGGTATAGTTAAGCCTTGGTGCCCAGCTGGGATTTCTCTTTTGTCATTCTGGAGGCTGGGAAGGCTGAGAGGCTTGAGGGTCCAGCATCTCTTGAGGGCTTTCTTATTGTTTCATCCCATAGCGAAAGGCCAAAGAACAAGAGAGCTCAAGCTTGAGAGAGGAAAGTATTTAAAGGTACCCCTTATCAGGAAGCCCCCCAAGGCAAGGTGCCCACCTCTCCCTGATGGTGTCGGTCTGCTCAGGAGGGCAGAGGCCTGGCACTTATCCTCTATGCCAGGCTGAGGAGCACGAGCTCTAACATTTATACCGTGCACCATGCAGAGCTTTAACAAGAAACGTGCACACTGGGGAAAGTGCTTCCTGGGTGAGCACAAAGTCCCAGCACCCACCAAAAAAGCCAGGCAGGGCAGCCCTGGGGAGGTGGAAACAGGCAGGCCCCTGAGGGCCTCTTGCTAGCCAGCCTACCCTAATTAATGAGCCCTGAGTCCCAGTGAGATACTTTCTCAAAACACAACCCAGAAGGCTTCTGAGAAATGATAGATGTGTCGGCGTCAGGCCTCCACACGTACACATGAACACACACACAGAGAACTGTCTCATTGCAGAGCAGATGATACACGGAAGGGAAATCATACGTGCTACGGGCTGTGGCTGGCCATGGAACCTAAAAAGTCAAGATGAGGGCTGGAAAGCAGAGAGACAGGTGTGTTCAGGACCCACAGAGTCAGCAAATGGAAAGTTGCTCAGAGGAGGAAAGAACAAGATACCAGGGAGCCAAGTCCAAGAGCCAGGGTACCCTTGAAGTAGGGAGGAGCCTCAGGTTCCAGGCACCCAAAAGACAGGGGCAGGAGACAGCGCTCTCCAGATAACCAGTGAGGTCCAAGGTCTGCAAAGGTTAAACGGGTGCAGAGGAAAGGCAGATCCAATACCAAGTCTTCATTTCTGAGAAATGTACAAGCCCCCAGGTCCAGAAGGCTAAATTTCTCAACCTCCTGTGTTGCCATCAGAATGATCATAACCAGTTTGGGCTGTTTCCTCTTCCCTCTGAACTTCAGGATAAACTCATCGGTGTCTTAATGAGCAGTCCTCACCCTTCCTAATGCCTCGACCCTTTAATACAGTTCCTCATGCTGTGGTGAGCCCCAACCATAACATCACTTTTGTTGCTATTTCATAACTGTAATTTTGCTACTGTTATGAATCTCAGTGCAAATATCTGATATGCAACTTCCAGTGGGGTCTCGACCCACAGGTTGAGAATGGCTGCTTTGATGCTTTTGCCTGGTTTTGCACTGACTTCACCCATCAACGTGGAGGTACTAAGCCATGAGATCTTGAACACTTCTATCCATGAAGATGGCAGGCAGCCACCTTCAGTTCCTCAACACACACTTTCATTCTCTTTGAGACAGTCTTGCTATATGACCCAGACTGGCCTTGACCTGTGATCTCCCTGTGTCCACCACCTAGGTGTTTAGGATTACAAGCAGGTGCCCCTAGGCCCGCCTTCAACATGTGTGTTTTAAACCACTTTATGAATAATACAGGCCGAGGGTGTGACCGCACACTGGAGCATTTGCCGGGCATGTGCAGGTCCTGGGGCTAGGGAAGATGGTCCTGTGCAGGGAGATGGCTGAAGGGCAGATGCTTCTCTTCCACTGACTGGAAAATGGCTGTAGTAATGGCCGCTCAGTGAGCAGGAAGTGAAACTTGCACTTGGAGCTACTGCGATGGCTCATGGTAAAAGCACTCGCCGCCAAACCCGATGGTCTGAGTTTGAGCCCCAGGACCACAGATATGACGAAATGAGAGAACCGACTCCTTCAAGTTGTCTTCTGACCTACTGTACCCTCCACACGTAATATTATTATTATTATTATTATTGTGGGGCTGACTGGCTGCTCTTGCAGAGGAGCCAGGTTTAGTTCTCAGAACCCACACGATAGATTATACTCCAGGTCCAGGGGATCTGACATGCTCTTCTGACCTCTATGGGCATTAGTCATGTACATGGTACACATATATACACACAGGCAAAACACTCACACAGAAAATAAAACTAATAAAAAAAAAAAGGGAGGGGGAATTCTGAGGGCTGGAGAGCTGGCTCAGAGGTTAAGAGCACTGGCTGCTCTTCCAGAGGTCCTGAGTTCAATTCCCAGCAACCACATGGTGGTTCACACCATCTATAATGAGATCTGGCGCCCTCTTCTGGTGTGCAGGGTAACATGCAGGCAGAACACTGTATACAGAATAAATAAATAAATGTAAAAGAAAAAGAAAACAATTAAAAGAGAATTCTGTGCAAATGAGCAAACTATATGAAATATGAATTATATTTCAACAAAGAGCTGAAAACATAAGCTTCCACTTTTAAAAACTATTTTCGGCAGCCTCATCACGTCCTGTGACTCTTCACTGAGTGCATGTCAGCCGTCAGACTGAGGCAGCACCAGAGCAGCTGCACAGGTCAATCTCTGACCACAGAAAAGTAAGGACGGCACAGCAGCCCGGTAGGATCCTGGCAATGAAACACCTGAGGCCCCCTCTCGCTGCACAATCGGGGATATATAAAAAGAAAGGTGAGCTAGGCAGTGGCAGTACACGCCTTTAGTCCTAGCACTCAGACAGGCAGAGGCAGGTGGATCACTGAGCTCAAGGCCAGCCTGGACTACAAAGCAAGTCCAGGACAGCCACGGCTACACAGAGGAACCCTATCTCAAAATCCCAAAATTAGATTAAATTAAAAAATAAAGAGGTGCCACAGTGTCCTTGGGCCAGTCTTATGGTAGACGAAGCCCTGTTCGTAAGAGCAAATCAACCCTCTGTAACAAAACCTGAGAAAATGAGACACTCACCCTGGTGGCCGTCATTGTACCCAAACCACAAACAGAAAGTAAAGACAGGAGACTCAGGGACACAGGTTTTGTAGGAATGCCAGCTGAGCCTTCACAGGGGAACACAGGTTGCCTACATCACGAGGGGCAGAGCCTAGGTCCCAGCAGCCCCCAAAGCTAGGCAGGCCTAACCACCCATCTTCAATAAGCCAGTTTAACAAACAATAGTGAGAATCGAAAGGAGGTTGCTTCAATGTGGCCCCAGTGGACAGAGGAACAGTGCCCAGTGACCATCCCCCACCAAGTCTGTCTCTTATGGGATGAGACTTGAGGGCAAGAGGTGTGTATGACCAAGGCGCCGTGGGCAAGCTGTGGCCTGTCCCTCACCACTGGAGCCCGCCTCTGCTGTGAGGTGTTCTGTTAAATCTCTCTCGGGGACCCAGGCTCCTTTCCAGGCTGGCACCGGGTATCAGCATTTTCTTCTCCCAGTATGCCCTGGGGAAATCCTGGTTTCTTGAGGTCCTGATTCAATAGTCTGGTAGCTGAGGGGAAGGACGAGTGCTCTCTTTGGAATATCTTCCTTCTGCCCAACGGTACAACAGTAGCTCTGAGTGTCCTGTGAGCTGACTAGTTTCCAGCTGTGAGAGTCATTTGGGAGTGGATATCAATTTTATGGCCTTCCCTCAGGGTGTCACAACAGGAAAGCAATGGGGAAATCTGGAGGCCAGCACTTCCACCTTGCCAATGGCTAAGGGCAAATGGAGAGTCAGCAAATCATTGCTTTATCTGCTAATAAAGCCTGATATGGCCACAATAAAAGTTAATGATTAGGTGCTTTCCTTCAGACAAATCGCAGAGTCTAGACTGAGATTTTATATGAATAAGGGTTTAGTTTTTTGAGACAGGGTCTACAAAGACTGTAGCATAGCCTGGCTGGCCTGGCACTCACTCTGTAGACAAGCTTGAAGTGGGCCCCCTCCTCTTGGGTCACCCAAAGAGCCCCTGCTTGAGAAAATTCTATCCATATTCTTAAATTGGGCCCAGGCTATGAACCATATGTAGAAACACTAAAAACAGCTTTGGTTTTGTTTATAGCGGTTTGGTGGGACCAGGACTCCCACATGAGAAGCACTTGCTTTACCGCTGAGCCTCCTCAGGGCCAGCAAGCTCTCACTGAGGCGCTAGCTTGATGCTTCCTTCCCTCCAGCTCTCCTCTGGTCAACATCATAACTTTCTTTGTCCTTCTTTCCCCGGAAGGAAGAGAATGGCGTATGAAATTAAAGGGTTTGGAGTTCAAGGAGGACACTGAAGCAGATTGATTTTGGGGTCACAAGATTTAGTAGAAGAGTTATTAATGCTGCAGACAGACAGCAGCATGGCAGGGCCTCCAAGGAGAGTCCTCCCTATGAGGCAGGTAGGGGTCCGTTCTTACAGGTCCCAGAGGAAGGGGGATCATGTACTCAAAGCTGTCTCTGAGTCCTGGGCAGCAGGGAAAGGGAAGAGGACTTGGGGTGAGAACTGCGTGGTTGTGGGAGAAGTGAGGAGGGATGCATCTAATTGAGATGAACCTGTTACACTGTGGCCACCAATAGCTCTCTGGAGTCTGGCGTCTGCCATTCTCACTGCCCCAGGTACCTGGGGATTCCGCTAGGAGCTTGAAGAGTCCCAGACAAGCTGTGGGTAGGGGTTTGCCAGTTTCCTCCGCTCCTACAGCTGGATGTGGGCTGAGAGGCAGTTTGGTCTGGATTCTAACAGAAATCTATGAGGAAAATGGATGAGAAACAGACACTCAGGAGCTGTACCCTCACGAGGAGGATGCTTGGGGCATCTCAGCTAGCTTTTAATCTCACAGAAGAGGAAGATGATCTCGGGTCTAACCTGAGGCCTGTGCACTCAGGGTTAGATGCTGAGGCGTCACACATTCAAGACAAGAACTCTCTTGGCTCAGGAAAGCACACAGAGAGGCACAGGCAGCCTAGGTACAGGTGTTCACATGCATGTGGGTATGGACAGGTGTGTGCCTGTGGCAGCCAACACTGATGTCAGGAGTCCTCTATTGTTCTCCTCTGCATTCATCGAGGCAAGGTCTCATATTTGAACACGCAGCCTGTAGAGAGAACCAATCGAATTAGCCACTTTGATCCAGGGAGCCCGTCTTCACCTTCTGAGCGTTGGGATGCCCACTGGCATCTATGTGGGTGATGGGAGTCCAAACTCTGGTCCTTAGCTCAGCAAGTAACTGTACCCACTGAGCCATCTCTCCCATTCTTACCTTCTTGAAGGAAAGAATTCGGCCATGAGACATAATTTAAGTAGAGTTTGTCCAGCAAACTCCAAAGAGAGATCAGAACAGGCTGTTCCAGAGCAGAAGTACACAGAACAGTGTGTTCTGGGTTGTGGCTGCTAAAGGCTCCTGATGAATATGTATGAGGTAGGTAGCATACCCACAAGAATACGGAGGCTCCTTTGGTTTTCCCTGGTGCAGGGGACCAAACCCAGAGCAATCTGCCCCTGTGCCAAATCCCTAGCCCCATAAGGTATTTCCTCCATAATTCTCTAGAAAAGTCCACAGAAGGAGAGGTGTCAAAACACAATGAAAACAACAGCATAAGGAAGCCAGGTCTTTCAAGGATGCAGACCATGCATGCATGAAGCAAAGCAGGGTCCAGACAAAGGGGACAGATCTTGAGTGTTAGTCCCCACACGCATTGTGTAATGACCCAATTATAAAAAGCCAGTGGGGGGCTGGAGAGATGGCTCAGCTGCTAAAGGTAGGCTCACAGCCATAAATACATAAAAGTCAGCAAGGTGAACATAGATGTTGGGTTTGTTTGTCTGTTTGTTTGTTTGTTGAAACAAAGTCTCACATAGCCTAAGCTGACCTGGAACTCGGACTTCCCGCCTTTACCTCCCAGGTGCTGGGATTACAGATTCATGCCAGACCATTTACCCTGTGCCTAGGATGGAGCCAGGTGTTTGTACCATGCCAGGCGAGCGCTCTGTAAACTGAGCCATATCCCAGCCGCGGGGATGAGACTGCCCACAGGAACCCATTTAAGCACCACTACAAGCTTTCCACTTCTGTTCTACCAGCTCACCAGGGAAAGAGCCACAAGCTACCATGACTTCCCACCACAGGGGAACGTGTCTCTTTAAACCGTGAGCCCAAATGAAAACTTCCTCCCTTTAAAAGAAAAATGATAAAGTGGAGAGAAGGGCTATCAGATCCTTAAATACACTGGGGACAAGGAAAGGGCCAGGTCCAGCCTAGGTTTCCAACACTGCAGATGGGCTGACCCAGTTCACTGGGAGCGAGTAGTCCTCCCCAAACTTTTGGTCGATACTTTGGTACAGCACAGTAGGTGACAGAAGTGGGGGCTTCATTAAACCATCACCCTGGAAATGAAGTCCTTGGCATCCTTAGAAAAAGAAAGAAAGGAAGGAAGGAAGGAAGGGAGGGAGGGAGGGAGGGAAAGAAAGGAAGGAAGGAAGGAAGGAAGGAAGGAAGGAAGGAAGGAAGGAAGGAAGGAAGGAAGGAAGGAAGGAAGGAAGGAAGGAAGGAAGAAAGAAAGGTGCTGCCCATCATCCGGCAGCAGGGCTTGCCTCCCCTCCCACATCAGGAGCAGCTGAGTTGGCTTGGGCTAAATCTCCAGGCCTTCATCTTCCTCAGGCTGCCATTCCTGGTGTGACTCAGTTTCTGATGGGAAGTTACCTAGAGCCTGAACGCTGTCACCAGCTGCTGAATCACTTTTCCAAGCAATTGCAAAAAACAACAATTTCTGTTGTTCCCAGCACAACGTTGTGCCAATAAAATTAATTAGCTCGCCTAGGAAATCAGGGCCATGTTTTGTGTGCAAAGGTCAACGTCCCGCAGAGAAAGGCTCTCAAACACAGTTTGCCTGGGCATAAACATTTATCACGTGGAAGGCAGGCACTCATTGTCCGCAGTGCCTTTATCAGGTAGTTACCTGGGGCAGAGTCCGCAGTCTGCTTCCTGTCCCAGTTTCTCTTGCCCGGGACCTTGGGCAATTGTTTATTTGACAGAGTGTTCTGTCCTATGTCCCTTCTTCTGGGAATACAGGCAGAGGCTGAAAATAACTCACCTGGTGCCTGCATGCCTGACTTCTGGAGAGAGAACGTGAGCTGTTTGCTGGAAGCAGTTATGAAAGAGAAAGCTGCTGCAGTCCCGGGAGCCCAGGATGCGTTTCTCTGCGCGTGCCTTCTGCTTACCTCAGGTCATGTTTCTGTGGTCAGCAAGTGTACAGGGTGATTCGTCAGGCTCTAGACAGTGAAACTGAAATAATTGTAATGGAGATGGGATGCTGATTACAAAGAGGTTACCTCACTAATTTCTTTCTTCTTTCCTTCCTTTTGTTTTGTTTTGGTTTTGGTTTTTTTGTTTTGTTTTTTGTTTTTTGGTTTTCAGACAGGGTTTCTCTGTATAGCTCTTGCTGTCCTGGACTCACTTTGTAGACCAGGCTGGCCTCGAACTCAGAGATCCATCTGCCTCTGCCTCCCAAGTGCTGGGATTACAGAGTGTGCCACCTCGCCCCGCTTCCTTACTCATTTCTTATGAAATGAGGATGTTAGAGGAACGCCGGCCAGGCTGCCTCTAGCCAGCCTCCTTCTGATTGTGCCTCTCTCGGCTTTTAATTCACAGCTGCACACTGACTAGTTTGCAAAGTCACACAGCATGTCCCACCTCTGGGTTCAGCCCGTCCCGCCTCTGGGAAGTGGCCCCAGGAAAGGATGTCCGAACCGTGGCACAGGTTAGGGCAAACCAGCCGGTGGACAGTGGACTTCCTTCAACAAGGCAGCCTCCCAGCGTGATTTGCGCAGCCTCTAGCGTCACCCAGCACACCCCTCGTGCAGACTTACCTGAATCTCTGTTTAACTACCTAACTAATTCTATAAGACAGGACCTCGTGGGCTCCTGCTGGTATCACACTACGCAGCAAGTGATGGCCTTAAGCTTACCGGGAATCTACATCGATCATTTTTGGGTCTTCTCCCACACTTCCAATTCTGAAAGCTGACGTCCACCGACTGTGAATTGTCATTCTAGGATACGAACTTGGCTTTGCAGTTAATGTGTTTGCATTTCTGCTGTTTTAATCCTCCTGCCCCCACCCCTCTTGCTGTTGGGGTCTCCCTGCCACCCTGTACTGGGTTTTGAGAATGTCAGCACCCCTCTGACACCAGCCCTCTCACTGGTCCAGGGCCCCATCAGGTCTTAAATGTGTCCTTCCAAGCCTGGGTGAAATCCTTCCCAACTAGTTCTACCAAAATTTGTTAGCAAATTCATAGCAACGTTAACATCCAGCGCACTGCACGAGCACAGGACAAGTGTGCCCCTGGTGGCTCCAAGCACTCTCGCCTCTCTCACGCCCGGACCAAGCAAGGCTTGATAAATATTTACCTAATGAAGGAGAACGCCCTACGAACGTTATTCCCACCCCCACCCCACCCCTGCCTGAGCTGTCCTCTTTCAGCTACAGCAAAGAAACATCAACCTTTTCCTCTGTTCTCAACACCAGCCATTCATTTAAATTGTGTGTGTTTGTGTGAGTGTTTGTGTGTGTGTGTGCGTGCATAGAGCATACGTGTGTGTGTGATGGTCAGAGGAGACCTTGCAGAACTCAGTTCTCTCCCTCCACCACGCAGACCAAATTCAAGTCCAGGCTTGACAAAAGCACCCTTACTGTATGGGCATCTTGCTGGCCCTTGATCACTTTAATGATTCTCGATATCCTAGAATTTAAAATGCATGTGGTAGCCTGGGATACCAACGCTGAGGCAGCTGAGGCAGCTGAGGCAGGAGGACACTCGAGGCCAGCCTGGGCTAGACTGTGAGATCCTGTCACCAAGAAGAAGAAGAGAAGAGGAAGAAGAGGAAGAAGGAGGAGAAAGCATTTAGTGGGCTGGACTTATCACTTAATGGTTTGCCACTCACCTAGCAAGTTCAAGGCCCTGGGTTCCACCCCAAGCACACGCGCGCGCACACACACACACACACACACACACACACACAGATGGAGGGAGGGAGAGCGAGAGACTCTCCATGTATATGGCATCCTACACTTACACAAAAATAGAGAAATATTTACAGATTTACTTCCAATTCTTGCTCTGTTTTTGGAGCCTCAGGCCATCACAACCTACTGAGGGAATGTCCTCCCTGGAGCGGTTGCCTCCACCGGGCGGAAAGCCAGTACCATGCAGCCTGTTCTCCTGTTGGGATTTGTGTTACAGTTGTCCACCTCGGGCAGGTTTGGGGAGCTACACAAACCTTACACAAATAGAGAATATGCAGTCACCTTCCCATGGAGCATTCTGGGGGGCCAACGTCTAGAGTCTGCCCTAGATTCAAGGTCCGTGGCTTCCGCCTGTGCTCACCCATTCGGCGTCTACCACACGCCGACTCTGCTGGCTCTGTGGGGTGCCAGCAGCAGGGATTTCATCTCTCTTTAAAGAACAGGTTCATCTGAGATGGAAGCCCCCTTAACCACCAATGCCTCCGAATGGATCCATTCACAGGACGGCACAAAGCCACCAAGGTCACCAAGCCTGGAAGGAAGGGCTGGTGTCAGCATTCCCACCAGGCCCGGCATGCTTCCTTACCTTGTCACCTTGTCGGGAGGATGCATGCTTTCTGCAAAAATCTGGCCCTTCCCCAACATGCTTGAAATGACTTTCCTGGGATTCAGGAGAAATGAAAGACTTAGAACCCCATTCCGAGCATGCCAGGCTGCCTCCGGGTTGCTGGGTGAGTCACTTCCCTCTGTGGACCTGGCTTTCTCATTTAGAAAATGAGGAGATTAAAGCCAGTGTTTCACAAGATTCCTTCAGGCTCTCTCAGTCCAGGCTGGAAGTTTCCACGGGACCACAGCAGTCCCTCCCACGGCAAGCTTGGGTTCTGTTCTTTTGGTAGCAAGTCCTTATGTCCACCTGTCCATCTGTCTTAGTTAGGGTTACCATGGCTGTGATGAAGCACCATGACCAAAAGGCAAGTTGGGGAGGAAAGGGTTTATTGAACTCACACTTCCACATTGCTGGTCATCACCAAAGGAAGTCAGGACAGGAACTCAAGCAGGGCAGGGACCTGGAGACAGGAGCTGAGGCAGAGGCCATGGAGGGCGCTGCTTACTGGCTCTCTCCCCATGGCTTCCTCAGCCTGCTTTCTTATAGAACCCAGGACCACCAGCTTAGGTGATGGGACCACCACCACCACGATGGGCTGGGCCTCCCCCGTTAGTCACTAACTTAAGATGCCGCCTTACAGCAGGATCTTACGGAGGCATTTTCGATATGGGAAAACTCCAGTTTGTCTGTCAAGTTGACATAAGACTAGCCAGAACACCATCTTTTTCTTGGATCATGTGACATGGTGGCTCTGGAAACATAGCAGAGTATGAAGCTCTAGATGGAAGTAGGATTCAGTCTTGTTATTTTATGTCATCTAGTTTTCCTGTCACCAAAACTGACAGGGAGGAAACCTTCAGCTTTTCTCGCTCCTGTCACCAGTGGTGTGCCCCCAGCTTCAGGTGGGGCATGCTGATGCATGGTAACCATGGCAACAGCTGCCTGAACTGACTTGCAGGAACGTAGAGGCAGCTTGAATATCCCGAAAGCCCGTTTACATGCACCATTCACTTTGGTGCAAGCCTGGTGCCACTTTGATCCTAAGAGCTCACACCCGCACTCTCAGAACGTGCTAGATTGCTAGCATTTCCTGAGGGTGTGTGCGCTCATATTCGAAGACTTCTCATCCTACCTATAGGTCGGACATCCCTGTTTCTTAGCTCATAATTATCCCTAAATCAGGGGCTGGCAAGTTGACTCTGCAAGTAAAGGCTCTTGCCGTGAAAGTTTGATGACCATTCAACCACCCCAACCCCCGTGAGAATGGATAGAATTGATCCCACAAAGTTCTCCAGCCTCTTGGCCAACGTTACTGATGCCACAGAAACCCTCTGGCTAAGGAGGCCGTGTTCTGGGCGGCTCTGCAGCTAACGAGGCTGAATTCAAAGCACAACATTCCCTAACTGAATTCTTTCCTGATCTGGGAGACTGAATGCCGTTTCGCTTTTAAATGTTTTAAATTATATCAGGGAGGTGGCAGCAGGCGGATCTCTGTGACTCTGAGGCCAGCCTGGTCTATATAGCAAATTCTGGGCTAGCCAGGGCTAGATAGAGAGTGAGACCCTGTCCCCCAAAATACCTCTTTAATTACACCTGTTTACTGGGGCCAGGGAGCACATTCCACAGCATGAGTGTAGAAGTCAGAGGACAACTCTTAGAAACCTGCTTTCTCCTTTCACCACTCGGGAGTCCAATGTAAGTCCTCAGGCTTGATGGCAAGCATCTAACCAGCCGAGCCGTCTCACTGACCCCACAGAAGGGCCTCCAGCAAGCGACATGGCTCTGGCAGGCCTTGCCCTTCTACCCAGTCCCTTGGCCTCTATAAAACCTTTAGATTACATTCCTAAACCTGGCCTATTTCCTTATGTGGCCACTTCCTCCCCCTGAGGCTGACCACCAAGGTCCAGCTATCAAAGTGTTGAAGTCCAGCAATCCAAGGCCCCCTTTGGCTCACCTAATTAACAGGCCCAATCAAAATTAAACACCTGATCCTAGCATGGGGCGTTCCCTCTTAACTTTATAAACTGCCATTTTCCTATGGGCCAGGTCTCTCTCCTCTACGCAGAGGCAGTCCTTTGTCCCCCTCTGGGACAAATACCCCTTCCCCGCTCCCTTGTTCTCTTCCCCTTCTCCCTCATCCTTCATCTTCTTTCTTTGTCTTTTATCTCTTCCCTTTGTTCCTCTGGGGCAAATAAATCTCCTTTGTGCTGAGAACTTGGTCTTGGGGGTCCTGAGCCAATAATGATCTCTTACACCCACAATCTGATAACTTTTTTTTTTTTTTTTTTTGGAGACAGACTCTCACTATGTGGCCCTGGCTGGCCTAGAACTCAGAAATCCTGCAGTCTTCCTAGTACTGGGACTAAAGGTGCGTGCCACCTCGCCTGACCATATAACCTCATAACATTTAAGGAGAGTCTTGATGTTTAAATATGCTGTTGTCGCTGCTGGGGTGGTGGTACACACTTGTACTCCCTTGCATTTAGGTGCCGGAGGCAGGAGGATTACTCCAAGTCTGAGGCCACCTCGGCCTGCATGAATTCAAGGCCAGCCAGGGCTACATAGTGAGTCACTGTCTCAAAAAAGAAAAGAAAAAAATCCACACTGAGACGCCTCAAGTAAAGGCCCCCAAGCCTCACGACATGAGTGCAA